CAGGATCTGGGCTAAAGAGGTTGGCTGGAAAAACCAACACTTATCTCTCTTCAACCAAGATCAGGATCTAGGCTGAAGAGGTTGGCTGAAAAAACCAACACTTATCTTTCTTCAGCCAAGATCAGGATCTAGGCTGAAGAGGTTGGTTGGAAAAACCAACACTTTGCTTTTGGTTGGCTGGAATAACCAACTTTGAGCTCTCTTCAGCCAAGATCAGGATCTAAGCTGAAGAAGTTTGGCAGGAATAACCAAACACTTTGTTCTCTTCAGCCAAGATCAGGATCTAGGCTGAAGAAGTTTGGCAGGAATAACCAAACACTTTGTTCTCTTCAGCCGAGATCAGGATCTAGGCTGAAGAGGGTTGGCAGGAATAACTAACACTTTGTTCTCTTCAGCTGAGATCAGGATCTACGCTGAAGAGGGTTGGCCGGAATAACCAACATTTTGTTCTCTTTAGCTGAGATCAGGATTTAGGCTGAAGAAAGTTGGCAAGTATGACCAACAGTTTCTCTTCCTCTAACTGAGATAAGAATCTAGGCTCAGGAAGGTTGGCAGGTATGACCAACAAATTTTTTTGACACTCTTTGACCGGGATGATAGTTAGCTCGGCCAATGAATGCCAGATTAATGGAAGGACGTGTTGAGCAACTGACAAGGCTTATTGGGATGAAAGGAGCTGTGAAACCAAACAACTTTTTAGCTCGGCAGAGTGGGGGCGTTCTTAGCGCGGCTGGAGGAAAAATAATCCCAATCACGCTACACAGATGGAATTAAGGGGTAATTGAGAGGGTAATTTGTAAACAAATTGGGCTGAGCTAGGAAAAGTCTTCTTTGGAAGTTGGGCCGCGTAATGGGTTGAGATAAGGGCTGGTATAGCTCGGTCTTAGGCCAAGAAGACATATCATATTTCATATTTGGGCCGAACTATGGGCCGAGGTGTTTGGGCTTCGCAAGTTGGACCTCGTCCTTATTAGTTCGGTCGGAGACTACTGTAGTTAGCTCGGTCTAAATAGACAAAACTGAGATAACATCAGTGGCGAGGGCCGAGCTATGTATAGCTCAGTAGAGTGGCATTCGAAAGATCGGCTTTCAATCACACGGTCCGAATGGCAGGGGACCGAGATAAGGCAGTTCAATCAAGAATGTATAACCGAGGTAAAGGGTTCAGCCATCTCACTTGGCTTGTAGTGATGAGACTCCTAGTAGGACTCTGCTAAGAAAAGTTAGAATCCTACTGGGATTGTGCAAAACCATCTGACTTGGTTGGTAGTGAGTAGGAGTGTGACTCCTAGGAGGACTCTGCTAAGGAGTGTAAAGTTCTACTAGGATTGTGCAAACCATCTCACTTGGTTGGTGGCGAGTAGGGTGTGTGATTCCTAGAAGGACTCTTATAAGGAGAGTTGGAAATCCTACTAGGATTGTGCCAAAATAAAATCTATAAAAGCTCATGACCAGACATATGTACAAGTATCCCAATTCTTACTCTAGAATACACAGAGCGTATTGTCTATTGTCTAGTTGCTAACTTAGGCATCGGAGGGGTTTCCGCCACACACCCGCCGGTTAGCTCATGTTTGTGTTTTCAGGTGGCAAAGCAACGTTGTTTGGAGGAGTGCAAACTTAATCAACAAGATTATACGAGAAGATTATTTCATGCTCATACAACACTCACCATTGAATGATGTAATGGAACCTCTCAATTACAAATATAAAATGGAGAGAATCACAACTCATGTGGGTACTATAAATCCGTTCATTAACTTTTACCATAAAAAACAACTACACTAACATACTAATACTATCTTTGACTTCCAAAAAAACAGAAAAAAATAATCACAAAATCATGTACTTCTTACAGTGTACCATTTTTTAGAAATTAGGAATGTGCACGCAGAATCCTCCAAAAATAAATTGACAATTAATAAATAAAGAGAAACCATTTCATACTAAGAGCATGGACCGACGTGGGGGCCAAAATAAGCAAGTTGCCTATAGTTTCAATTTCATTAATTTAAATTAGTGTTTCACTCGTGATATACATAAGTTGTATTTGTAATTATTTGTATATATGTAAATTGTGATTTTTAATTTTTTTTGACACACAGAAAAAGGAATATAACAAATGCAACATTTCTTCAATCAATTATTTTATATTTATTTTTATTCAAAATTTAAAAATAATATACGGGCAAAAATTTATAACTAAATTAAGGAAAATTTTATTCCTAACGGCATTATTTTACTTCTATATAAATACTTAAAAAAACAAACCTGCAAAAAGGTAGTCAATATAATATTATACATTAAGTAAAAAAAAAAATACAGTTAGCAATTATGCTTACAAAAATTTACTATAGTTTAATATCAATTTTTTTAAAAAAAAAAAAAACTATTTTAATAGCATTTATCTAGTACCAAATAGAATTTTCTTAGCAAAAAGGAAAGTTATAGGGCTTGTTTGGTTTGTTTTTGGGAGAGTTATTTTTGAAAAAATTTTTGGGGGGAGAGTTTAGAATTTTTTTTGGTTTGTTTGGTTATATATTTTGGGAGAGTTGTTGTTTTTTTTGAGTTTGGGATGATTTGATATTTTGGGAGAATTTGAATAGATGTGTGTGAGAGAAAAAGTGATTGAGAAGGAAGGAGGAGAGAGAAAAAGTGATTGATTGATGTGTAAGAAAAAGAAAGTGATTTTGAAATTTTTTTGAGAAAAACTCAAACCAAACAATCTTTTAGAAATTTTTTTCTAAAACTTATCTCCCAAATACAAACCAAACATACCCATAAAATTTTGTTGCAAATTTTTAAATGTCTATTGTTAAACATTCTATTCTACTTGCTTGAGTTTTGATTTTTGATCTTTGTTCCACATTAATCGTATTATTTTATTTATTTTTCTTCTTCTTGCTTGATTTTCGCATGATACTTCTTTCATAGAGCATATCCGAGTGTATTAGTAAAAACATTATACACTTAAAATGCATAAAATTACAATATATAGAAGAAAAAAAAAACAAGTAACTGCCCAAAACTAAAACTACTTTAAGAAAAAATAAAAAATAAAAATAAAAATGAAACTGTTTGAAATAGTAAATGATTTATTTATTTATTTATTTTTTAAAATAAACTTTTAAAGAAAACAAAAACAAAAATAACAAAAAAAAAAAACTATATAAAAAAAGTACATAAACTAAACATAAAATATAATACAAAAAATAAATGAATTTTAGGATTTTCAAGAAGTGAGACTCACAAATAAATGTTGTAAAATCTTATCTATTCATATACTTTTTGTGTATATTTTTTGTATTTCTAATCCTGAGAATGACATTGAAATCATTTGTACTTCTTGCATTAGGTCCATCTAATAGCTTTAGCAAACACAAATGTAATAAATTTTATAACACAAAACACAAACAATTATGAGACAAAGTATCTAAAAAAATGAAACCAACATTCAATGATGATATAGAAGCACATCTGAAATTTTAATTGGAGATATAACTAGATAAAACGCAATAGAAGAGGAAGACAACATTTATTTTTCATCACAACAATTACATAACTTAATATATAATTTTAATGTCTCTCACTCTTCCACATGTCCAATTCTCTATCAATATTAAAATGAATGCATGAACCAAAAAAAAGAAACATTTGAGAAGACAAAGAGATGTGGTTTGAGACCTTTCAATTGTTGAATTCTATTACTTAATAATTATTAGGCTTCAATGGTCGGGCTTCTAACATTTGTTAGCTACTAAAACTGAGTTCTTTGGTTTCATCTATATTCACTTAGTAATTTCATAGTGGACACGTGTCAAGCCTTTACACAAATACTTGGCACAATTTTTAGCATTATTAATGAAATGCACTGTGTAATTTTTTTTTTCCACAATTGCAACCTGTTATTTTTTAATAAGAGTTTATATTTGTTTTAGATATTTTGTTAATATACAAATTATTTTTTTTAGACTTTTTATAAAAATAATTTAACAATCCTATCATTAACCATAGTGTATGGGAGAAGTTGAAAATGGTGCGATAGTAAGTATGAGAGAAGCCAAAGATGCTTATAGGTTGGGAGAAGTCAATAAATGCTAAGATTTTTCTTTTAAAATCAAAAAATTAGAAAATTAAGATTGGGATATTGAAACTTCCACAAAACTTGTGAATTAAAAACCGTATTTTCTTTATATAATATATAGATTATATATTTTTAATTTCGTTTTGATGTGATGGTCTATTAGTTGTCAATAATATTTTGAATAAAAAAATAACATGTCTGAAAAGAATTTGGAATAAATTATAATGGAATTATTTACCCATTTTTCTTTTTTGTGCAGGAATTACTAAAATTTCTGGATGAGTTGCATGTGGTCTTTTTCGGTCCAAAATGTTAACAGCAATAGATGAAAAGACTAATTGTAACATAATTAGAAATATACAGTTTAAGTTACTAAATTTGAAATTATAGGAAACATAAATTTTCTCAAATAGAGGACCTAATTTATCCAAATATTTAAGTGGATAAATGAATCCAGTAGAGATTTATCATTTTTCAATATATAGGTCAAGCCAAGCAACAGCCTAACTTACAAGGAGATATCAAGTACTATTTGGCCACAGCCACTAATGAAAAAAACAACATCAAAAGGGAAATATGGATTTAGATCTATGTATAAGAAGATCTTTAAGATATATCCTTTTATGCACAATGCGCATTATGTATAAGAAGATCTTTAAGATATATCCTTTTATGCACAATGCGCATTTGTCAGTACTTAGCTGCTGATTTGCCACCCTTTGGCTGTAAAATCATACAACACTTTATTATTACATAATACACACAAACAGGTGTGAATTATTTTCAACTTTCTTTGTGGATTCGTCTATTCTTCTTGAATTGAATTGGTTTTGTGACATCCTTTTCCATCATATTTCTTCTTAGAAACCAATTGAGCATTACATTCACATAATTGCATAAGATTGGCAACGAGAAATCCTCCTTAAATAAGTAAGTTTTATTTAGTTAGGCCGAGCCTAAAAAGAGCTCTACATAGATATGGATCACAAGCCAATGTCATACAACATTGACAAACATAACAAGAACTGAATTGGCATATATAGCTTCATATATAGAATCAGATATTCATCCTTCTTCTTCTTATTTCTTCGTTGGGGCAACTGGCTTGCTAGCGGTAACACTTGGTGCCTAGAAAACCCATCAAAATGTCAATAAGATAAATAAATAAAATAAGATAAAAGGGCGTACCCAGTACACAAAGCTCCCGCATATGCAGGTTCTTGGGAAAGATTGATGTACGCAGCCTAACCTCACAAGTAGAGAAGCGGTTTCCGCAACTCAAACTCATGACCTCCAGGTCACAATGGGGCAACTTTACCATTGCGCTAGGCCTGACCTTCAAATAAATAAAATATAACAAATGAAAATAAAAAGAAAGAAAAAAGAAAAGCAAAAACATCAAAATGTATGTGCCTTCTTAGGTTCGAGGGGCTTTTGCTCGACCTTCTTAGTGGGCCGAGTGGAGGCCAGAGTTATTGGTGGAGTTTTGGTGGGCTCTTTCTTGGCTTGTGCAACCAGGTTTTTTTTTTTTTTTGCGAATGATGCCATCGATAGAACGATTAAGACTTGATGGTGAAACAGACAGATATAGTAATCCATTTGGGGGAATAGAATGAAGTAATGTGGACGCATCTTGAAAGATGATGCCGAATCAAATACTTTGCTTAGAGATAGATATTGCTCATAGCATTTGATGTTGATTCTAAAGCGTGCCCAGATATTTCCAAGCCATATGTTGTAACAATGTGTACTTTTCTGTTTTCAAAAATCATTTTGGGACAATACGTGATGTAGGACTAACGTGGGTTTTAGGATCTCTGTTGGATATTTTCTTATGCTTTACCCTTCCCCAAAATAACCTTATTTATATCACGTTATTCCATGTTGTCCATTGATTGAATCCCCAAAATACCTTAATTGCATCCACCAAGCAGTTGTCCATTGATTTTCAATGCCTACAACACATCAATGCTTTTGTGGTTGGTAAATATTATCAAGTTGCTGCTTAAAACCCGAAAAGTGTACTTGCATATTTAATGCACCGACTCAATACCCAACATGGATACTTCATGACTAATGTGGCACTTAGACATATGCAAATAGAGAGCGATGGTATGAGATCCTTTATCCTTAAAACTAAGGGATGTTTTGGAAAGTTAGTAAAAAGTTGGCTTTTGACTTTTTATCAAGTTTTTTGATTTTTTTTAAAGTGATTTAGAAAGTTGGTAAAAAGTTAATTTTTTTATTTTTGGTTTAATATTTTTTAAAAGTGCCACATCACTCTAAAATGACTAAAATATCCTTACTTTTTAATTAAATTTACAATTTTGCCCTTTTGCATGTCCACATTTTTTTGAATTAATTAATTACAATGTTCCAAAGGGTAGTTTGATAAATGGCCTAGTTGCTTTTTTGGGTCTTCCCAAATGGTGTCTTCAGCGTTTTTGCATGGTGCAATGTTTTTGATGAATTCGAAAAACGCAGCTTTTTGTCAAAGTTCCCAAAACAGCACTAAGCTGATGAACTTTTTATCCGGCCCAACCTAGTACCCAAGGTGGTCCAATTTGACCTGAATGAGGTTGGGCTTTGGCCTAAGCCTAGAGTTTGAAGCCTAATTCGATTTGTCTGGCTGGGCGACAAGCTTGTCAAAAATTATAAAAAATATAAGAAAAAATTATTAAAAAAAAAATGGTTGCCATAAATATGGACCAATAGGCTAAGCCCACTAGCGTGTTGGCCCGCCCATCGGCTAGGACCATGAGCTTGTATAGGCCAAACCCGTTGGGCACAGCTTGACCCTAAGGTTTTCGGCCGCATTTTGGGCCCACACAATCTTGCTATAAAATAAAATAAAAAAGCCTGCTAGGCTTAGTTTGTGGACAGCATTGGGACCCATTTTCGCTAGCCACTCGATGACAGGATCATCGTGTAATTGTGAATGATGGGATAGAAGGATATACACTTTTTTTTTTTGTTGGCGTAGAGATGGACAGGGGTTTTGGCTTACTTGATCATGACGATCGAACTGGGGTCCCAAAGCTCTGACGAATCTCATCCTTTAAGGCAGGGTACAGGTTCTTCCTGTAGGAAGATATTGAACATTGGATTGAATTTGAGAGAGTTTTGATCATCATGGTGGTCTGCTCTGCCATGGAACTCTTGTTGATCATCCTGTTTTGCGTCTGGAGTCACACCTGTATATAAATAAAAGCTGGCGTAATTTTGAGAGATGTTTAACATTGGATTGAATTTTTCACAGAAATTTTTGCAATTTAGTAAGTTGTTCAATTCTGATAAGAAGGCATCTCTCCACTAAAATGATCAGATGATGCATTTAAGAAGTTAAGAATTAAAGAAGCAGATAACTTGAACTTTGTAACAGATGAGAGAAGGCATAATTCTCAAAATTCAACGGCTACCAAAACGAATTATTCTATTCTGGTAAATGCAAATGTAGGAGCTATCCTCAAATAGGAAATTTTCATTTTCCTTCTTAAAATGGGGATAAAAAAATTCAATGTTAACATACTGGTTTAAAACGAGAGGGAAAATTGAATTCACAACCCCCAAAGGCTCCGTTTGTTTTGGGGTGTTGTGGATGGGATGGGACTAGGATGGAGGTGGAGCCAATTAGTATTGTGTTTGTTTGTAGAGTTGGGAAAGAAATTAGAATGGAGAAAGGGATTTAGATGAAGGTTGGAAGCGGGATTGGGATGGAGGAGGTAGAGATGGTATTAGAAAAATAGTGAGGAAATTAGCAATTTTTTTATTTTTTACATATTGGGATTTTTTTTTTGAACATTAATGTTTAATTTTTTGTATTTTTTTTTGTTTTATTATTTTATATATAAATAATTTAACAATTCTTACACTAACAATTATCATCAAAACAAACACAATTTTACTTAATTCCCTCACTATCAATCCCTGACTGATAATTCCTTCACTATTAATCCCCTCACTATGAATCTCCTCCATTCTACTTCTGAAAATAAATGGGGCCAAAAAAGAAAGATCAGCTCGAACTTGAAATCACACAAAAGGGCCCTAAATTCAACAACCGATCGCAGAGCATACATTGTTTGAAAAAAAAAAAAGGATAAAGATACCAACTTTAAACATAAAAGATTAAAAATAAAATAAAATAAACCGATCAAAGGATCGACGCGTAAAAATAGCAAGTAGAAAGATCAAATGCAACAAGAATTCTCTGCCATGGACTGTTTGATAGAGTTTTGATCATCATGGTGGTCTGCTCTTCCACGGAACTCTTGTTGATCATCCTGTTTTGCATCTGGAGTCACATCTGTATATAGCCAAAACAGTTTCATAGTAAAAATACGATAGGATTTTTTTAAATTAAATTAAAAATCAGATCTTGTAATTTGGAGGGCAAAGAATCTCATGGCGGCCCCAAATTGAATACATTGTTTGCTTCATTTATGAAAAAAACCTAGATTTATTGAAAACTCTTTTGGAAAATCTAGATATGTTTCGTGTTTTCATGATTATCGATTTCGATTTAGGTAATCCAATTAAAAATTATATAACCATAATTAAAATAGAGAGAGAGAGAGAGAGAGAGAGAGTAAAACATCACAGCCACGACAAAAAAAAAAAAATTATGTGAAAAAATATGGGTCCGAGGCTATACAAATAATCTACTATGAAAGAAAAATAGTACAAGAGATATCTTACAAAAAGTCACTCCACAGTACACACGTTTGCTCAATCTACAAGTTACTCCACTTTCTCCACCACTGGATATCCGCTTGCTTTGGAATCCACCAAAGACTTCTTACAATCTTGGAATCCAGCAAAAAGGTTGTCGAATTGCCACGACGCCTGTAAAATCCAAGTTTTTTGTAGAATAATTTTATGAAATTGATTATTAATTAAATTAATTTATATGGGTAATTTAGTAATATCAAAGAATTAATTATGAGATAACATTATAATTTCTATTGCTTAGATGGTTAATTTTGCAATTTTGGAAAATTAGGTTAATAAGCCCACATATTGTAGCTTTAAGTCCTGGGAAAAACAAAATAGGGGTGGATGAGGGTTTTGGAGGCAGCAAGGGTTTGAAAAAAAGTAAAAGAAAAAAAAAAAAGAGGATTCAAGGGAAGCGGCGGTAGGAATTGAGGGAGACATTCCTGATGCTCATTGATTTTTTTTTTTTTTTTTTAAATGAAAGGTTAATAAAGTAAACAGTTTAATACAAGCATTTGAGCAAAGGGAACTTAGTCCCTCCTAGAGCTAGCAGCCACCATGTCTGCAACTAGTACAGAAAGGAGAGCACTGGGTGTCTCATCTAAAAAGACAAAATGCTCAGTTTGGCTGACTCCAATGTTTGCAAGAGCATTAGCGTATTGGTTAGCTTCTCTTGGGATATATGAAATTTTATATTTGCATCTTCTTAGGTGGAAGCTGGCATCCTCAATCAAAGCTCTATATGGGCAAGAGCTGTCAGCACCATCTGTAATTAGTTGCCTTGTAACTTGAGAATCTATCTCAAGCTCTATATTTGCCATTCATTTCTGCATAATGATGGTAAGTCCTCGGTAGAGTCCCCAAAGTTCAGCTTCCAAGCTCGTGCAATTTCCCAGGTAGCCATGGTAGCCCCATAGCCATGTACCTACTTTATCTCGCAATAAACCACCATACCCAGATTGACCTCGGTCTCCTCTAGAGCTTCCATCAATATTCAGTTTCAGTGTCCCTGCAAGAGGTGCAAGCCAAATAGTGAGTCGTGGTACTGAGTAGTTTGGGTGAAGTGGGTTTAAAAAAGATTCCTGAATTTCTTGAGCCTGTTGGAGAATTTTGGTTATGCTGATGGTTACAGGTTGATATTGATTTTCAAGCACTTCTCTGTTCCTATCCTTCCTTATATTCCAAATAGCAGATAAGAATATAGTTGCCCATTGGATGTCATCCACCTTGTGCTTAATTTTCATGTTGGATCTGATCCATTCAGGTAGAGGATCTCTATCACCTACCTGCCACCAAGGGCCTTTTCAAACTGACCCAGATTAATTTAGCTTTAAGGCAGCCTCCAAGCAGATGGCTCATGTCCTCTCTAGTAGTTTGACACCTGGAGCAGGTGTCTGAATCTGTGAGCTTCCTTTTGAGTCTCATCTGGTTGGTAAGGAATCTTCCATACATGGTCAACCAGAGAAAGCTTCTTAGTCTCTGTGGGGCCTTAATTTTCCAGACCCATTACCAATCAAAGTCATTCTCATCCTGCTAGGAAATGGAATTGTAGGCAGCAGAAGTAGTGAAATTGCCATTGGTGGTGCCTTGCCAGGTAGGAGTGTCCATGAAAGTTACATACCTAGGCCTGTATATTTGTAGAATGTTATCTTTTTCTTCTTGGGAAATCAGATTTTGGATTGAGGTCAAATTCCATTGGCCTTCATCATCTAAAATGGAGCTAACAGTTGTAGTACAATCAATGTGAAGGCCCTGGTTGTTATTGCACAGTGGTGCTGTGCCACACCACCAATCAGTCCAGAGTGAGATATTCTCACCATTGCCCACATTCCATTTGATGTTAGCCTTCAACACCTCTCTGTTGTTAATTATGCTCTTCCAAATGTGGGAGGCTTTTCTCTTGAGAGGCTAATTGAATATGGAGTGGTGCTTAAGGTATTTAGATTTGAGAATTGTGCACCAGACAGCCTTGCTTGTAATTTTCCAGCCAAGTTTAGAGATAAGGGCAGAATTTTGGGCCCTGGTTTTCATAATGCCCGGCCCACCATTCCTTTTACTTTTGCAAACTTGGTTCCAGTTAATCAAGTGAACTTTTTTGACAGAATCAGTGCTACCCCAAAGGAAATTCCTATTTAAGCTGTCAATTTTATCACAAATATGTCTAGGTAATTCCATAGTTTACATGAGATGATTAGGTATGGCAGAGGTAACAGAATTCACAAGGGTGAGTCTACCTGCAAGGGACAAGTTTTTGGCCTTCCACCCAGATAACCTATTAGTCATTTTTTCAATGATGTGATTTATATGATTTTTGTTAATTCTGCCATGGAGCAGAGGGGTGCCAAGATACTTACCCAAGTCATTGGTAAGGGAAAAACCACACTGATAACTAAGGGAGAGGGCTTCCCTTCTAGGGATATTGGGAGAAATAAATAACTTGGATTTCTAGAAATTTATTTTCTGCCCAGAAATTTCACAAAATTCATTCAACACTTCCATGATGGCATTACAATTTCTGGTATTAGCCTTAGCAAAGAGAAAAAGATCATCAGCAAAAAAAAGGGTGAGAGATAAGGGGACTATGTTTAGAAGCTTTAAGGCCGTGCCAATCACCACTTTGAGTTTTAATTCTTATCATGTTAGATAGATTTTCCATGCAAAGCACAAACAGTTAAGGGGAAAGAGGGTCACCTTGTCTAAGTCCTCTCCCAACACTAATGTTAGGGAGGGCCTCTCTATTTCAAATAATAGATGAATTAACATTAGAAACACAATTCATGATTAGAGTAATCCAAGTAGGGTTGAGATTAAATTCTTTGAGGGTATGATGAATGAACTCCCAGGAAATATGATCATAAGCTTTTTCAAGGTCAATCTTAAGCACCATACCTCTAGTTTTGCCTTTCTTGGACCTGAGGGTATGAATAATATCTTGGGTTATGATGATATTATCAGTGGTAGTTCTACCTAGGATAAAACTACTCTGATTGGGGCTAATTAAATCAGAAAGCAGAGAACGGAGACGATTGACAATAACTTTGGTAATGGTCTTATAAGTAACATTGCAAAGACTTAATGGTCTAAACTGTTTTATAGTGTCAAGGTTCTCCAGCTTGGGGATTAACACAATTTGGGTTGCATTGACCTCCTCAGGGATGGTCTGAGTGGAAAAACACTATTTGACGAAATTGCACATGGATGCTCCAACTATATTCCAGTTTTGATGAAAGAAGACAGCTTGCAACCCATCTCTACCAGGAGCTTTAAAAGCTTTAATATTTTTAATGGCATTCCAAATTTCATGGTTAGTGATGGGAGCTTGGAGAGTATCATTATTATCTTTAGTAAAGCCAGTATAGGTGATACTTCTCCAGTTATCCAGCATAGGAGTAACCTCATGTTGAAACAGATCATTAAAATAGTAGTAAATATGATTCTGGATATTTTCAGATTTAGAAAGCCAATTACCAGTAACATCCTTGATCATATTAATTTTAAGTTTCCTACGTTTATTGATGGTAGATACATGAAAGAATTTGGTATTTTGATCTCCCATGGTAAGCCATTTGACCCTGGATTTTTGAAACGAGATAAGTTCTTCTTGAAATAGGGTCATGCTGTACTGTTTGATGAGGTTTTTTTTCGAGGAGGTGCAGATTATGGGAAAACCCATGAGTTTGGGATTTTTGAATTCTTTCTATTCAGGCTAAAAGGTTTCGCTTATGCTTATACACATTCCCAAAGACTTCTTTGTCCCAATTTTTTACATCATGAGTAAATCCATTGATGGCCTCAACCAGATTATAATCCATATTGGTCCAAGACTTTTTGACAACATCCAAGAAAGTAGGGTGGCAGGGCCAAGCTGCTTCAAATCTAAAAGGCCTAGAAGTAGGGTTAGAGAGATGCATACCTTGTGTGAGAACAATGAGTGGGAAGTGGTCTGGATAAGTTCTGGGAAGTGTCCTCACTGTCCCTTCAGGAAATAAAGCTCTACATTTGTCATTGCTCATAGCTCTATCAAGATGCTCCATGGTATTAGCCAATCCATATCGGTTGTTTGTCCATGTGAGTCTAGGGCCAACACAACCAAGATCGATGAGGTTGCAGTTGTTGATTCGTTCAACGAATTTCTGGGTTCGGTTGTGATTGTAGTAAGGAGAAAAGCTTCTCCTTTCATTATGGTTAGTGAAGTCATTAAAATCACCCACAACCAGTCAGGGTTTCTCCATACTCCTAGCTGCATCCTCAAGACTGTTCCAGAGTTCATCTCTTTAGAAGGGGTAAGGGCTAGCATAAACTGTAGAGAGGATCCATTCCTCATAGTCTTCCTTATGGATTGTGGCCTGAGTAACTTGGTTAGTGGCATGTGATGCTCTTATACTGACATGGTTAGTATCCCAGAGTAGCCAAATTCCACCTGTTCTTCTTATTGGGTCCACTATTGTTGCAACAGTAAACCCCATATTATTGAAGATGTCTGGGGTAAAGGAGCCTTATCTTCAGGGATGATGACAATGGAGAGGTTCTGAGTGGGTGGAGTGAGGGTTGGTGTTAGGTTAACACCAGGCTGTGTGGCCTTGGGCTAGGTTTCAGTTTGTGAAACAGGTGGCCCGGACTAGGTTTTCTGGTATGGGCTAGATGCCTCTTTTTCGAGGCCCAATCTTGTTGTTTTCTTGCCCCTATCCATTTCCTCTTCTTGTTGGGTCCCTTTACTCAATTCTGAGAACTTGTTGTAATTTGGGCTTGGTCTAGTAGTCTGGGTTTTCTTATTGATCACAGGCTTACAGGTTCTCTTTGTTACCATCATCCAGGGCCCATATGGATCATCTCCTTCTACTGCTGGTTGTTGCAAATGACTGTTGGCACTGGAGCTAGCCGTTGGAGTTTGGTCTTGGTTGCCCTCAACAGTTAGTTGTATTCCTTCTGGCAGAGGGTTATTCCGATGAACAGCTTGTTGCTTGAGGTGCGCTGCCTGGTATTTGCACAGTTCCTTGCGGTGATCTGCCCTGCCACAGTAAAAACAAAAATGAATGGATAGATTCATATTCTATGTTATAGCTTTTTTTGCTCAGGAGAAATCTGGGACATAGTGGCTTACGGAGATCAACTTCAATGCACACCCTTGCAAACCGGCCCCTGGTAGCCATGGCTGTGGTGAGATCAATCTTCAGAGGTTTACCAATTGACCTAGCAATCGCAAATAAAACTTTCTCTTGAAAATATTCAATCGGAAGCTCCAGAAATCGCACTCATACTGCAGTGGTGGTTTCAAAAGCTTCCGATGCTTTAAAATCACGCTCTCATTTACGCACGGTGAGATAATGATCCATAATAACCATAATAACCCACGGTCCTCCAGAGTAAACATGTGCACAATCTTTCAATGAGGAGAATTTGAACAGAAAATAGTTATTACCCAAATCTATAACATTAAAATCCTCTTGTAGGCCCCAGAGGTTCTTAACTCTTGTGCAAAGCATCTTGTACCCGATGTTCTTGCCTATATAATGACTCGGATTTTAAATTCACATTGGATTGATGTATAATGGTGCCCGTCACCTTAAAACTTGTACGGTCGTCGGGCTCTTGATATTGATGGGTGGGCAAGTGAACTTTAAATATTATAATTGAGGACCCTTAGGTGATGTTTGGAACCTTGATTGAAGCCTTAACAAGGTATTTAGGTAAGATTAGATAAAAAGCCCCAAGTTTGAGTTTGAGTTTTTGACCAGCCATCACTATTTTGCCCTTTTCTCCTTCCATACTTTGAATTTGAATGTGAGGCTGGAACCATTGGAAATCTTGTTTTCGGGGCTTCAATTTGAACACAAGAACGACCTAAAACGGAGTCCGAACGAGAGAGTTACACCTGTTTGAATTTTGAGTTTTTATGCTGAAAGCATGCACGCTCGAGCGAGATTTTCTTCGCTTAAGCGACCGAGTCGCTAACAGACAGAATAAAGTGATATTTTGGCCCAAAAACTTCATTTTTTCATCCTCTCTTCTTCTCCCCTCCTCCATGTCCAAAAAACCTAGCCCTCAAAACTTTGATTTCATCCATTCTTACTAACAATCTACCATGGATCTTGCATCAAGGTTCAAGAACAAGCAAGGATCAAGGCGTTGACCAATTATTTTGGGGATTTCATTGAAGTTTGAAGATGGGTCTTCACCCATAGCTTCTAATCTTGAGGTAGGGGTCCTAGTTCTCATTCAATGCTTACATTAATAGATATATTTGTGGTATTTTGGATTATATAAATGCAAAATCTACATTTTGAGCATACAGTGTTAAATCATGAAATTTTGGGGTTAGGGTTTGAAATGCTGGGGGTTCTATTATTGGGTTTAGATTATGGATTATGGACCTAAGGTGTATAATCAATGGGAAAATTGGAATAAAAAGTAAAGGCTTAAGAAGTTTGAATTTTTTTCTTGAAATTCTAGGTTTTTCTTGAAAACCTTAAGTTGATTCATGATGACAAATAATGAGTTTGCCCAAATTGAAAGTAGAATCATGAAATTGAGGTATTGAATTGTATATATGCAAGTTTAATTGAATTTTGGAAGTGTTTGAAAATCATGTTAAAAATTAACAATTGAACCTTATTTATGGATATTGTAAATCATGCTATGATATGAAATGAAATTTGAGAAAAATTATTAGTTAATGATATGGATAACATGAGCCTTGGGATGAAATGATGAAATGAAAATTTAGGAGTACACCTTGAATTATAATTGGCGGTGTTGAGTTAAGATATGTTGAATTGTGATGATTATGTGGAATTGTATTGATTATGTTGATTTTGGTTTTTGTGATCTAAAATGTAGAGTTTCCAAAATGGGTTTAATCTCAAATCATTTTATTAAATTCCTAGTGGGCTTGTTTAGTCATTCAACTCGAGAGGATGATTTAATGGGGTTTCTTTATGGGGATGGGAAATGTTTGGTTTTTGGTGAAAACCCTAGAAATTTAGAGATTTTTGGGGAACATGGAAATGTTCATTAAACACCTTTCTTTCCTTGAATAGAAGATGAATGGGTGTAAATTCCATAATGTGTTTTGCAAGAATGGTAATCTTTTAAATATATTGAGTTAGAGAAATGGTTTTGAAAACTTCATGTGTAGTCCTTGATGAGACCATGTTGCTATGACTTGTGAAATGAGGAAGTTGATGGTATATGGTTGACTTGAGAAGGAATGTTATGAACCCTGGAATTTTTGCATTTGCATATCATTTCATTTATTATTGTGCATTGTGGTTCTAAATCGAAGAGATTTACATTCGTGAAAGAAATGGTATTGTAATAAGAACTACAAAAGTGTGTAAGGGGTAAATACAATGGTAAGTCCAGTTAGGGGGTGTAGATAAATTTTGCTAAGTTGGCCTGAGTGTCCATGGTGAAAGACCAGAAAACCGCGCTGATAGGTGTCGAGCCTTCTAGTTAATACCGATAAAAATGACAGTTTGGTAGTGCTCGTAGAGTCTACTTGCAGACACCAGCCTAGGGATTACCAGTGTTGTATTTACCACCACTATGTCTAAAATTGAAAGTTTTGAAATGTGTTGAGATTGCAAGCTTTTATTAAGAAATGGAAATCTTTGAGAAGAACATGGAAATTAATTATAAAAATGGTTGGTTTTCGAAAATGTTTTGCGTGCCCACATCCCGCCGTATAGTAGCCGGCAAATATGGGGAATGGTTTTAAGGTTGAAAAATGGTTTTTGAAAGAAAATGGCTTTTATGAAAATGGTTTTTGGGAATTCACTTCCTACCGTATAGTAGCCGGCGAAAGGTGGAAAGTGTTATGAATTGGGTGCCCGCTATCCCGCCATAGTAAGACGGCAAAAGGTGGATTGTGTTGAGCTATGTGTTGAGAAGTGTGTTGAGTTGATGATGTTATTTGTTGCTTGTGATGAATTTGTGAAATTACACATTGATGTGTAATTTGGTTTAAAGAGGAAATGTGCATAGGCATTATTTGTAAATAATGGAAACCAAAAATAGATATGAGGATTATAGACTATGATGGTAAACTTAATGAAGTAGTTGTGTTAATAAAGGTAAATTGTGAGCGTTGTTCTATAATTAAATAAAGGATTGGATTGAAAGGGGTTATTAATATTGTGTTATCTTGAAATGAAACTTTGCGGGTGTAATTAATGATGTGAATTGAGTATAGGAGAATTGTTGGTGAGTCAAAAAGGAACCTGAACTTGAAGTTATGGGGTTTTAAATTAAAAATAAAGAGTAGAAAAGAAGAATGAAAGAAAAAAAGGAACATTAAAAATGGAAATTAAATGAGAAATATTTTGGGAATTGGTTAATAACCTTTAAATGATGTTGTTTCTTAAATATGGTTGTTTCAAAAGGATCTATGGTTTTCTAAAGTTAAGGGATGATTTTTAATGGCTGAAGGTTTTTCCTAAAAGTGTTTAAATAGTTTTTGAGAAAAAGGTACCTTACTTATGATATTTTGAAATTATGAAATGTCACCCTACTAAATGGTATCACCCTGCATGCATGATCATTTCTATCTGTGTGTTAGTTATTGATTTAGAACTATGAGATTCCTACTGGGCATTAGTGCTCACCCCGTTGTTGTTTTATCTTTTTACAGGAAGAAAGTTTGGATTATTTGATTGAAGATTTATGGAGTTATTGAGTTCATTTGTATAACTTCATAGTAGATGTAAAGGAAGTGGATTATGTATTTGTATTTATTTATTTGTAGCTTCACAATAGGAGATTGGCATGTATTGTTATCATTGTAATGTTCATTGAGAGAGAGAAAACAGGTATCATTGTATTTCTATTACTCAAGTGTAATAGATATTTGTATATGTATAATAAAAAAAAATGGACCTAATTTTAAGGCTTTGGTAATGTTTCCGAGTAATTAAAATTGGGGCGTGACAGCCTAGCAGCCTAACAATCAATGTATTGGCCCAGGGTTTGCGAATTTGTTCCAGTAATTTCTTCGGAAGATGTATTTGCGGAATGCCTTGCTGGGTTGGATGCAAGTTTCCTTCATGAATGGTTGCATCTCCTTCATCGTCCTCCTCATCAGCAAAGAGAGAATCCATGGTGCCATCAAAATAGAAATCAGTATTTCATGGTGCTGCCAAAGCTTCCTTGAACGATTTTAGCTTATGGTCCTCAGTCGATATCTCTTTAGGGTCTTGCGCTAGTACCGACGTAGGAGGAAGACATGGGCTCTCTGTTGTGTCCATGGTCTCTAAGTGATCCTTGCTCTTGATTTTCTTTGTACTTCTGACCAGATGGTCTTCCTTTTCTTGAGTTTTCGTGGGTGAG